ACATGTCCATATAATGGTCATATGCACACGCGTCATAGTGAAGCATTCTCTATCGGAAATTTCGTGAACTACATAGTGCTTCTCGTTTCAGACAGATTGATAGTATATGATATCAAATACACATCATCACGATTTCAGGTTTCTCTCATCAATGAGATAGTCAAATCATAATTTGAATAGCTCATTCAATTCGTTTTTGTCGTATGTTGGGCGCTAATTCACTGGAAATATTTACATAAGCTTAGAAATAATTCTACATACATGAATATATGGTAAGGTTATAGAAGGAAACTGTATAAGAAAAAATTTGTGCTGAATTTTGACATTCCAAAGAACAAGCGCCAATTCTTAGCACAATTTACTTATTTCTGGAGAAGCATTTTGGATTTGATGAAGTAAATACGGCACAGGATCTGAATTAAGAAACGTCGGTTTACAGGTCGTTATAGTCGGTATCCTGTACCTTCTTAAAGGAGTTACAATTACTGTGTAAATTACCTGAAGTTGTTAGTAAAAATAAAAAAATAAAGTTAAAGATAAAAGTGGGATAAAAGTAAGTAGTTAAAGATAAAAGTAAGAGCCTTATTTGAGAGATATAAGAATATTATTGTTTTTAATTGACAATTTAATGTTTTTATAATCTAATTCTTACACTAAAAGTAGTCATTAATCTACTATAGAAATAAAAAAATCAAGACTTATTTTTTCAGTTATTTAATGAAATTTTTACTTATAAATAATTTGACAGTGAAGGCGTTGCCGAACGGTTGCAGGATTTTGAGCAATTAAAAAATCAATATTGTTGTGTGATTTAGAACAAACGTTTCGACTATATTTTTAGTCTTCTTCAGTGTTATCTCTGATCACATACTTTCACATCAATAACGTTGACATGTGTGTATGATGTTGACTAGTCAACGGTAGCAATCCTATTAAGGGAGATAGGAGATTGCTAACTAAATCAATAACACATCAATAACGTTGACATGTGTGTGTGATATCGACTAGTCAACGGCAGAGATGCCAGTTTGCGGACGCCAGCAACATGCAACAGCAAGTGGAGGAGATACGCACACAGGCGAACAGCCGTGTACGTGTGCGCTCGGCGCTTCGGCCAGCTTCGAGCAGTAGAGAGAGACGGACATATATAACCGCTCTTTTTCTTTCGCTATAGCTATAGCTATAGCTAACTGCCAGCCGCGAGAAGCGTGCCTAGTTGCTAGCCCGTTTCTTATGCCGTTCCTTCTCTCTTTCTCTTTCTCTTACTCTCTCATACTTACATGGGCTGCGTTTCGATCTTCACTGCCGGTATTGCAAATCTACAGCACATGTAACGTAAAGTATAGATTTGTAGTACTGGCAGTGGATATCGAAACACAGGCTAAATAAATCTGAAAATGCGTAATATTATGTGTCAAAAAGTAATAACAATAAAGTAGAATTTAATGTATTATACAAAATAGAATTTAATATATTATACAAAATAATCAATACATCAAATGTATTGAAAATCAAAATCAAATAATAAACTGATCAAATAATAAACAAAAAGCAAGAACAATAATTTTTTATATAACAAATATTATATACAGACATAATAAATAATAATAAATTTCTTTCTTTTAACTATGTTATACTACTAACTACCGTGATTATTAAGAGTATGAAAGAAACACAAAACCCATAAAATGTAATTATTTTTGTATCATTTATTTAAACTTATTATAACAAAACATTGATTTTTTATGAAGCACTTTGGCAATAAACTGCGTTTTCATACATAAAGAAAAACAATATAAATAATAACATGCATAACAGTATAAATAACAGTATTGATGTATAAAGAATAAATAAGAAAATATATAATAAAATTAAAAAATATATACGATTAACAAATATANGTTAAATAACAATTAACAAATATATAAGCGTATTTACACAAGTTTTATAATAACATTTTTTAATTTCTTAACTAGTTGAACACATTTCTAAGTTAATCGATTATTGAGACGCATCTTGCTGTGTCGCTTTTGTTCTTAAACAAATTCTATTAATTAAGAAAACTGATGCATTTATATATGCAGTCTCATTTAATAACACGTGCAGCAACGATCATAATATACTCTGTATGTCGATAATCAACTTTTGACTATCACATAGAAATATGGAGATTCCTTTTAATTTCTTTTTTTTTTTTTTTAATTTGATTAACAACTACCTGACGTAAAGAATGACAATGATCGCTTCTACGTTATCTTTGATAGAAACCAGTCTGATATTTTCTTTTTTATAACGGATTCAAAGACGATTTGTCGTATAATTTATAGTGTGTGTGTGTGTAATACTTCATAATACACATAATACACATAACAATATACACATATACTGTTTAAATGTAGAAAATTATTTTTTGAGCTACATATATGTAATGCTCACTCTACGGCAAAATGTACATTTGCGGCAGATATCTTCGTAAAAAAATATCATATTTGCGATCATACACACCATAAAGAAAGAATTAAATAGAAAAATTAATTATTATTTTTGATTGCATATATATATATATACAGGGTGTCCCAGAATTGGTTTAACATCTCTCGTAGGCAGGTAGAAGGAATAAAACTGAGGTGAAAAGTCCTATACCATTTTGCTAGATTCGCAATAATTACTGAGATTTTAATTAACAAGATAACGTAGAAGCGATCATTGTCATTCTTTACGTCAGGTAGTTGTTAATCAAATTAAAAAAAAAAAAAAAGAAATTAAAAGGAATCTCCATATTTCTATGTGATAGTCAAAAGTTGATTATCGACATACAGAGTATATTATGATCGTTGCTG